CAAAAATGTTACTTGTTATTAATAATTAATTTTGGCGTGTCATTTGTTAATGCTTTCAAATCCAGGTTTGCTGATAGTTTTCCAAGAATCCTTTTCATCTTTCAAGAGGTCGGTCACTTAACTTATTCTAAGTCCTCTTATTTAAATAATACAATGTAATGTCAAGGCGGGCGGAAGTTTGTGGTGAGGTAAGAATTTTGAGCCACCAAACAAATGAGACAATGTATTGTCTCGGATGACGTGGAGCTCGGTTTCAATTCAAATTTTATGGAATTGGCAGTTTTGTTGTCAGGAAGCAGCTCATAGCTCCCATCCCAGCAAATTCTCGTCATCACCTTGCAACAAGCTAGAAGTCCTTCATCTGGGCTTTTTGTCATCACTGCTGAAGTATCCTCTACGAAAAAATTGGCCTACGCTCAAACGCGTTTCGGCCTCACGCCATCTTCACTGTGGAACAGAAGCAGAAACGTGTTTGTGTTATCTAAACCCACGATGTTAGACGGACTCAGCTAAACGAACAAGTATCGATCAATTCAATAAGTGTTCACGTATATATTTTTTTTTATATCCGCGGCAACCATCAGTAGAATTCATTTCAGCCCCCATACTTTTATGGCCAATGAGTATTCGACATTCCAATATCGGCCCTCTCATTAATCACATACACCTAGTAATTTAATTATTTACAAATGCAACATTATATAAACATTAATCCATATATGTATTTAGTTAGTAATAGTAATCATAATTGACCGTATTAATTATTTTAATATTAATTACTATTTTATATTATTATTTTAATACTTACTTTTTCATCACAACCAAGACATTAGGTTAGATTAGATTATATATGAATCATAGGTTATACGATCTATTGTGCATCTCCATTTTTTTTTTAAATCTAGAGCTCCTCGTTAAGCTTAAAGCTTTTTACCTGACTCCAAAGTTTTTTCAAGGGTTCCCGTGTGTATCCTTCAGGCCTTGGCTTTTCCTCTCCCAGGATTAGCCTGTTCTGACATGTCCGGCTGTTTCTTCTTCTTCTTGGCAATATCTGCACAGGCTTGTTTTGTGCCATTCCGAGTCTATACATATGCCTCCGGAGTCTGTAGCGTCCAGCCAGCAGACCAACTATTATTCTAGTCCTAGCACGTCCTAGATTTAGTAGTTCTAACCAAGACCTTAGATTAAAAGTATAATTAATTCAAGTTCTTTTTAACGTCTATCGCTTTCATCTAAGCTCTATTATAAGGGCATAGGTAGAATAGCTCCGAGAAAGCTATGCATCGAAGAACTTCAAGACCAAGTCCTCAAGACAATGGCTATTCTTGAAAGACCAATTTTAGAATTTTTGCAGTTGCAAAACCTCTGGTTTCCACGTCACTTTAGAATCAAAAATCACTTCTAAATAGTTGAGAACTTTTACCTCCTATATTTTATTTGTTTCCAAGAATATTTCTTTTATTAGGAACATGCAATTGATAAATTGAAAAACAATCTTGTTCTGTTTAGTCCGTGTATTGTCTATTTCTAAAGCTGCAAAGTACCTGGATTTGAAGTTCAATAGTGTCATTTTCGCAAGTAATCATGCCAAAGTCTTGCAATTAGCTGGCAATTCAGGTTTCAGCAACGAATCATACAAAATGTCCCATAAACCCGGTCCGCAAGTAGAACCCTGTGGGCAACCCTTTTTGACTTTAGTCGCGTGTTTCCTAAGGCATAGTAGCTCGTCTGTTGCTGAAGCAAGCTCTTGCCAAGTGGAATAGGTGTTTTTGGACAGTTCTCGTTTCTCTTAATAGCTGTATTTATTGCTGGTTTAACCAGCATTAAATGCTCCTTCCACGTTCAAAGATGTAAGTAGTACCTGGCGCTTCTTGTTCATCTCCATTATCGTCGTTAGGGTTTACAACCGAATTGTTTATAACTGAGCAAGTCTTGTAACTATCATTTGTACAGTCTTGAAGAAGAAAGAAAATTAAGTTGCTACGGCCAAGCTTTCAATCTATTTTAAGGTCATCATCAGGGCAAAACAACTTCAGATATGTGTACAGATTGACATCCAAACTCCTACAGGCGATCTCAAACCTCCCTGAAGTCCGACTCAATCCCATCAATTCCACGATCGTTGGCGGTCCATTTGCCCTGATGATGACTTTAAAATAGGTCGAAAGCTTGGCACTAGCAACTAAATTTGCTTTCTTCTTCAAGACCCTACCTTGTTCCAGAGTGTTCGTAAATGGAAAAGTGGTCGATACTTATAATACTGAAAACAGTATCATTTGGGCATTATTATTTTTATTGCACTTTGCCTCGAACTGACAGCAACCTAATAGTTCGAAATTTACTTGGCGCTACAGTTCACATGGGGCTATGACAGAAGCCTTTTTTCAGTGATCAGGATCGATCCCTTTGCTATAACACTTACTATATACTATGTGGTAATATTTTATAATAAGCCAAATGTCTAGTGCTATTTATAACACCCCTACATGGTGTTTTTTGGTATAAAATTTTTAATTACCTCCATAACTTCTGTTCCTTCATAACTTAATCATTTGGAGTATCAATTTTTTCAAAAGTCATCATAAGCTTGAAGGTTTGTGGTGTTTTATAAATAAAAAACAAAACCATAGTGATACAGTACAGTACAAAAAGAATATATTAAGTAAGTATTTTAACTCGAAACCTTTATTTTCAAACAATTAGATTCAATATATCATAAATTCTATGGTTTTCAAGATTTAAAGATAAAAGTTACCTCAAAAATTATCTACACTGATACATAAGTTATTATATATAAATATTGATATAAAATTAAGTAAAAATTACATGGTAAACATGTAACATGGTAGAATATTTTTAAAAAAATCGACAGCCTCATTTCCAAACAATATGTTTGATTTGAAAATATTCAACAAAAGCAAGTTTCTCCTTATAAACTCTGTAATTTTTCAAAATTTCTATGTTTCCTAACATAAAATTGACAAGTCTCTTAATGTAGTTTGCATAAATAAAAAAGAATTTACAGGTCATTTAAAAAATTCTCGAAATTTAAAGTAGTCTCGGTAAAAAAAAATCCGAAATCACAAAGTTTGAAATGCTCCAATGCAAGTACTAAAATGTTTCAATTTATGTATCTATTTATTAAATCTATTTAAAAGTTCAAAATAAAATATTAAACCGAAGTTTAATTCACAACCTGACTTAAAAATAGGTCCAATTTAAACAAAGCCGATAATTTTTTTCATATTAATAAGAAAAAATTTACACTAAATCTTAATTTTTCATATGTAAATACACTTGTAACACAAAAAAATTGTAAATATTTAAGTAGACATAGGAAAACAATTACACTACATATCTAGTTTTCATATATAGTCATGTCAAACGAAGGAAAGTTAACTAAAAGAAAATAAAATTTAAAATTGCATTATTAAATAATGAAAAACAAAATTTATTCGGGTAACTCCTCTTAAAAGTACAAAAATCATATAACAATATCTACGTGATTTCTGAACATTCCGAATTTACACAAACAAATTATATTAAAAAAACTTAAAAACAACAACTATCTAATGATTTCAGTTGTGACTTGATCCACCTTTTTGTAAAGGATGGGCGTGCTTTTGAAAAGCATCAATTGCTTTGTCTCTCGAAATCGGATGGCTTCGGGCCGGTTGTCGATTGCCGTACAACCGTTGCATCAAGACATCTTGCTGCAGTCTGCAACAGCCTAGGAATAAGAATTGCAACAAACCGTTTAATGATTCCTGTTTCACAGTGCGATGAGCATCAGACCAATCCAATTATTTCGACCTGCGCTACGAAATCATTACATTATTCACGATTAGATTCGGTTTCTTTTTTTTGTGTGTTAATTTTTTTCCTTGTCTCATTAATTTCGCTATCAGGCTGATTAAAAAAATTTTTTTTGTCCGATGTCCATAGAAATAAATTAACACATATACAGGGTGTCCTTTTTAGAAGGCCCGGCTGAATTTCTCTTGAATATATAACGGGCCCAAAGTATTGTATTTCTTTGACGCCTACCTTATAATTTTTTACCACTACGTTATTTAATATTTCGTTCTCATTTAAAATTTCAAAGCTGTACTGGCTAAAATATTTTTAAAAAAGCGGTCAAAATTTAAAACTTGATTAAAATATATTAAATGTTTTTTAAATTTATTTTTGATAACTTATCTGTTCAAGATAAATTCAGCCGGATCATCTAAAAAAGGCTGAATTATATTATTTATTTATTTTTTATTTTACGAGGGTTCGCAGCAGCAGAGGTTATATCAACCCTCGGGGTGCCGGTGTTTTTGAGAAAAAGCCCATTTGTAAGTATGTCGGGTTCGAATCCAGCGGCCCTGCATTCGAATCCGGGACCTTTACCTTACAGTGATGAGCGCCGTGTCACCGCCTAAAACCGTTGCGGCCACCGACGCCCAGGCTGAATGCAGATTGATTTTTTCCAAACTTATGAACTCTGTCATCTAAATCTAGCATCACTCTACTATATGCTACTTTTGTGTTTATTCGTTCTCTCTAAAACATTAGAAACAAGTTTTTGGTGTGACGTTGTCGAATTCAGAACTGAGTCATTGCATTGCATAAAATATGATTGGTGCCACTGCCTGGAGGAGGTGAGACAAATTTGAACTGACCATCACATGATTCGAATTGCTTTGGTTAGAGCTCATGTAGGGTTTTTGGGTAACGAAAGAGCAGACATAGCCCAACAAGCATCTCAGGATAAGAACCTTCCAGAATCTTACTTACGAGCACCAAGCACAGCAAGGAGAGTAGTTTTATGGAGAAAAAAATTGGCCGCCGAGTCTCTTTTGAAGTGGGAACATCTATGGGCTTCTTCTCCAAAAGGGACTTCTTCCCGACTATTTTAGGCACCTAAGTTGTCCTCCATTAAAATCACCTATAAAACAACACAGCTCATATCCGGTCATGAGAAGAATAGAGAATACCCCCACAGGTTCAATATCATGGAAAGCAATGTCAGCCCTTGTGACAACACCTCTGCACCAAATTGGGACCACGTCCTGTTCAACCGTGCAATGTTCGAAAGCGAAAGAAGTGAGTTTGTGAAATTTTTGGTGACGACTGGTGGTGTCTGGTTTCTTAAAAAGAGTGATTCGGAAGTTCCCATTTTTTTCTGAAAAACATGCGAGACAAGTTTTTGGTGTGACGTCAGGACTTTACATTTTAAAAATTTAGTTTCATCAAAAAGTTTGCCGCTTAAAATTTACAGAAAGGAACCCATTTCAATGTGTATTCTGCCACACCTACAAACTTCTCTTTACTGGCAGTTTCAGATAGATATTTATTTCAGCCTTTTGTTCCCTCGAATTCAGGAATCAACTAAAAACTTCTCTAATTAAAAAATTTTTTGTTAAGCAAATGATCTTAATGTGTGAAACAGATGTATACCATAATTAATAACTATAATTATGAAAACGCGAGTCATAAATTACAACAATAAACTTACACTTGCATTGTTAATAAATGTTATAATTGAAGAATGCATTATTTTCATTGAAGAAAATCTATTGACAATTGAACGAATTTATACAATTTATATACCTTTGAAGAGGTATATATCTTTCATACATTTTTGTTACACAGTTACAAACAGTTGTTAAATTATTTACTATTATTATTATAATTGTAATGAACAACGCTTATTTATTTTTATTACAATTGGCTTTCTCTGAGTTCATAATTTCAACTTGACTCTATTTACCAAATAGCAGTGTATTTTTATTTGAGGTTTTTTTTTCTTCATTTTTATTGTGGTAATTTTTTGTACCATTCGGTACTTATGTGAAAAGTCTGGGACCAAGCATATCAGTCGTATAAATGTTTTTTTCCCCACCTTTTTTTTCAACCTATTTCTATATTTATACCTATATTTATAAATAGATAGATTTATAGATAGATTATTCAGATAAATAAACTGAGATATATAGGTAGAATGTTGAACGAGTGAGGTAAGGAGAAAGAATGAGATTTAGGCATAGATCAATAGATAGATAAATAGACAATTTTGGCAAAATTTGATAGTGTTGTTCATTCTACGAAAGGTACCTGATGGTTCAATCAGGTGGGGCAACTATTATGACTAGTAGATTCTGATGTACAATATATGCATAATTTAACATTTAAAAAAAAATTCGTTTTTATCTTTCTGTAAGCGAGTCACCTATATAGGAATATGGACAGACAGAAAGAAACTCGGACCTAGAAAAAAGATATAGAGAAAATAGACATACAAAGATAAATACAAATACAGAAAAGAGGGAGGGAGAGAGAGAGAAACACGAACCTAGAATACGGAAAGAGAGAGATATAGCAGACAGAAAGAAGCTCGAACCTAGAAAAAAGATATAGAGAAAATAGACAGACAGGGAGAAATAAAATACAGAAAAGAGGAGAGAGAGAGAGAGAGAGAGAGAGAGAGAGAGAGAGAGAGAGAGAGAGAGAGAGAAACACGAAGAACCTACAAAACGGAAACGGAAAGAGAGAGATATAGACTGACAGAAAGAAACTCAGAAATTCGAACCTCGAAAAAAGATATAGAGAAAATAGACAGACAGAGAGAAATACAAATACAGAAAAGAGGAGAGACAGAGAAAGAGAGAGAGAGAGAGAGAGAGAGAGAGAGTGAGAGAGAGAGTGAGAGAGAGAGAAAGAGAGAGAGAGAGAGAGAGAGAGAGAGAAACACGAAGAACCTAGAAAACAGAAAGAGAGCGATATAGACAAACAGAAAGAAACTCAGGAATTCGAACCTCGAAAAAAGATATAGAGAAAATAGACAGACAGAGAGAAATACAAATACAGAAAAGAGGAGAGACAGAGAGAGAGAGAGAGAGAGAGAGAGAAACACGAACTACAAAACAGAAAGAGAGAGATATAGACAGACAGAAAGAAACTCAGAAACTCGAACCTAGAAAAAAGATATAGCGAAAATAGATAAACAGAGAGAAATACAAATACAGAAAAGAAGGGGAGAGAGAGAGAGAGAGAGAGAGAGAGAGAGAGAGAGAGAGAGAGAGTGAGAGATTTGTACAAATATTAATATTATATTATGAATATAAAAATAGATGGATATAAAGATCTATAGATAGGTAGATAGAGATAAATAGAATAAACTTTCAAAGGTCTAGAGCAGCAATATTAAAACTTAATCATTTTATTAGTGAGAACGAAATAGACCTTATTTTTCTATAAGAACAACACATTGTTCATAATAATGAATAGATAAAAGATGAAAGCTTTGCTTGATGAAAGTATTTACAGTAAGAGTGAACCACTTAAAAGAGCTGCTATTATTTTAAAAAACAAACAATTAGATGTTACGCCACTCTCGAATTTTTTGATGATGACTCTGTTTATGTTGAAATACAATACAAAAGGAGGTTTTGAATTATATGCGGCTTCTTTATATTTTGACGGTAATGCGGACAACACTTCTTCAGTTCTTATTAGAAAGGGGGAAATCATCAATTATTATATCATTGTATTCTAATGCCAGATCTACTCTTTGGAATGTTAAATTAACACGGATGTTAGAAGATTTGCTGTTCTGTAATTTTTTCATTGGTGAAAAATAATAATCCGTCCTTGCCAACACTTAAAAATGGGTCAGAGTAACATAAACCTGACAGTCGTCAACTCTGACATGTTTTCTTATGTACACGATTGGTTTATGCCCAAAGAAGATAGCTGCTCGAATCATAATTGTATAATACGTGAAATCTTTTTCAAAATAGTGATCTCCTTTGATGTAACGACTCATACTCAGTGTACAACATTATTACAATTATTAAGCAGATTGGAATCGGTACGAAACATCCCTGAAAAAATGAAATTAAAAATCTATCTTTATTGGATCCCCTCGTGATTGTTTTTCGTTTTTCATTTCTCGAAATCTGTTTGGAACCCAATAGTTTTGGTTATTGACTATGGTCCAAATGTATGTCCTTTAGGTACGGCGGGGAGGTAGATGAAAAAAAAAAATGAATTAGGAGTTAACAGGTTATCCTCATTTTTTAAAGACGACGAGCTTCTTGTTAATGTTCTCGTTTTACCAAAAAAGTAAGGTGCGTTTACGAAACTCCAATAGTGACGGATGGAAGCACCGTTTGTTAAGACCTTAAGGCAGAAGTCAGATTGTACCACGTCCGATTTATTCGAGCGTGTGACCGTGTTTTTGGGCCAGGTGAAATTAAACGAGATCGTTTTGTTTCAAATATAAGGAGCGTGCCATTATAAAGGGCCATGTCGGGGGGCAGTTGATGCAATCCCGATTCAGGTTCAGATTAGGCTCATTTCGTGAGACTCTTTCCCTGGTTTGCACCATAATTTTTCTACATACATCACATCTCGAATCGTTTCTTTGCGCCCATTCGACGAAACCGGAGTGAAAACCTCTTGGGCAACCCTATTTCCGTCCGAGATCATGCTAACAATGATCATCAACAACAAAAAACAACACTTTCTTCACTCTCGTCAACAAATGAATAATTGACGTCGACCGCTAATTAATGACAATGGATTTTTCGTCTTTTATTAACGGATGAAAATCGTTAATGACAATATGCATATATTTATTTAATTTTGACAGCTTCATCTTCAAACGATTTACCTCTGACCCGGAGACAGGAAATATTCATTAGAAAGTGTAAGTGACGAAAGCTGAACAATATCATTTTAAATTTTCTCCACGGAAGGGTCTTTATAAAGTTACTAATTGAAAGTTAATATCGATCTCAAAATACTGATAGCAAACAACAAAAATTGCAAATTTTTTTTTTTACTGTAATGGTCGGTCCTCCTAAGGTAACAGGACGAGTTTTATGTCCACACTCTGATCATAATAGCTTTTATGTCCACAATCTGATCATAATAGCATGTCATAACTTATATTTAAAGGATTTTTATTTCCCTGGAATGTTTGAGAGAGTCGCAGGAAAATTTCGAGATCAGAGATGATGCCGATGAAAACACTGCTAGTTTGTAAGTTAGATAATGTTGAGATAAATAAAATACCGACTGAAAACGAACGTCGCATGTTACGTACAATGACAGAACTGCGTAATCGTCCCCTTTAATTTATCAATTCTTTTATAATAACTAATAATTGATATTTTATATGATCGAAAATCATGTAGTTTTAAGGATGTTAAGAATTTAATTTAAAGATGAACTGGTTTTTACAAGATTGCGTGTACACAATTAATAAATGTTGTTTATATTAATTCAAGTGGGCTTTGTTTTTGAGTTTGTACACATGTCGGTGTTCGACCGAGTGGATGTAAAGGACCATCGATTCATCTGGATGATGAAATCATCGATTTAAGAGTCTCTGTGGAAACAATTGCGCCGACATGTTACACATCGCTTTTGAAGAAGGGGCGCTCAAATTTGCAAGTCTTCTTGACGCTGCCGGAAAACCAGGTCCGACATTTGAATAAACAAGTAGAACCGAGTAGAGGGGAGTTATAGTTGACTCATTCGATATGAAATCATGAAGAGTTTGACAACTGCTACGACGAGAAGTCAGGATTTGCCCGCCACATCGTCTGTCGATGAAAAACCGTCCGGCTGTGACCAAAAGGCTGGTTCGTCTCCATCCAAATCCGCCGATGCCTTCTGTTTGCTTTGAAGGGAGGACGTTTCGAAATTATGCTCCTGACATCACTGCTTCGTGATGACGCTCCTTCAAACCACTCCGTCGTGCTCACACGACAACTTTTGTAACTGATCGTCCCTAACCCGGTTCTAATTGCGACATAAACTGCACTTTATCTTATTGTCTCTGTTTGGCGACGTCTTCCTCTAATTGCCCTGCTGATCCCATCCGTGGATACCATGAAGGGGCCAGCGAAAAATGTCGAATTCACCATTTAAAGCGTGATTCATTAGGAAAGAAATCGTGAGTTTGTTATAACAGAGGGAATAGACTTGTGAATTCGATTGAATAAACATGAAATCGTATTTTGTCCACCAGATGCAGGGGTATGACGTGAAAAATGATAGAAACAAAAGAACGGCTACCAACGATTTGTAAGATCACAAACTAACACGGCAACACGCGATTCAATTCTCTTTACATTTAATAGATAAAATCCAAAAATGTATGATTATTACATTTATGTATTGTTTAACACCACTCTTCTCAAGCAGATGATGTATAACAAACATTATGACATGAATAGTTTTATGAACGACTGTAAGCGAATGAGATAAGGAGAGGGAAATAAATTTAGATACAGATCAATAGATAGCTACACAGACAATTTGGACAAAATTTGATTGTGTTGTCATTCTACGAAAGGTACCTGGTGTTTTTTGCTTCATTGGGTGATCAGGTGGGGCAACCATTATGATTTTTGATTTACAATATATGTATAATTTAAAATAATAAAAAAAATCGTTTTTGTCACTCTGTAAGTAAGTAAGATAAGGAAAGGGAGGGAGGGAGAGAGAGATAGATAGATAGATAGATAGAGAGAGAGAGAGAGAGAGAGAGAGAGAGAGAGAGAGAGAGAGAGAGAGAGAGACAGACAGACGGAGAGAAATACAAATACAGAAAAGAGGGAGAGAGCGAAACACGAACCTACAGAAAAAAGAAATACAGAGAAAAAGACAGACAGAGAGAAATACAAATATAGAAAAGAGGGTGGGAGAGAGAGAGAGATAGAGAGAGAGAAATACAAACCTAAAGAAAAAAGAAATAGAGAAATAGAGAGAAAAATACAGACGGAGAGAAATACAAATACAGAAAAGAGGGAAAGAGCGAAACACGAACCTACAGAAAAAAGAAATACAGAGAAAAAGACAGACAGAGAGAAATACAAATATAGAAAAGAGGGTGGGAGAGAGAGAGAGAGAGAGAGAGAGAGAGAGAGAGAGAGAGAGAGAGAAATACAAACCTAAAGAAAAAAGAAATAGAGAGAAAAAGACAGACGGAGAGAAATACAAATACAGAAAAGAGGGAGAGAGAGAGTGAGAGAGAGGGGGGAGATTCAGAAGGATAAATTGAGATATAACAATAAAGTGCTTAGGCGAGTGAGGGAAGAAGAGGAAAATAGATTTTGGCACTGATCAATAGACAGATATACAGACAATTTTTTGGCAAATTTCTTCATTCTACAACAAAATTAGCTATTTTCTGGTTAACTGGTTGATTAGGCAGACAACCATTATGACAGTAATTCCTGGTGTGCAGTACATGTATAATTAAAAAAAGTTTAATTTTTTAATCTTTTTGGGAAATGGTTTTACTAACTGAGTTTTATAAATTACGATTTATGCGAGGTATTAACTAGTGGATCCTCGTTACGTATCATTCCACATAGTAGATAAAAGGTTGTTACAAAAAAAAAGTATTTTAATGGTGATGTGATCGGTGTCCTTGTTACCTTCTTTACCCTATAGAATTGGTCCTCACGCGCTTCCTTAAGGTAGTCCTGACCTTACAAAACGCGTTCTTTCAATAGAACTTTCCATAGGCAGAAAGGTTAATCAGGACTGTCAGAGTCATGTAAAGCATAATTATGAACTATGAATCATATAACGTAAGCCTGTTGGTACCGGTAAATAATTTTATCCTTCAGAAAGTTTCTTATTAACGCTTATTTCACATCTAAATCGTGGTTAAACGAGAATAATTGGTTCGTATTAAACGCTCATGATCGTCCATAATGCGAAAAACTGACGGTGGTCAGTAATGATATAATCAGTTATGACAACTAAGAATTTATTTTATTCGGAAAATTCTTCTATCAAATTTTTTGACGGACTAATAATTTTAATTACGCTCAACCCTTGGTTATTAAATTATTACTGATCAAAATTATTCGGCCAGTAATTTACGCATTTATGATTTCGTGTTTGCCCGGTTCATTGATACCCCTGCAGGTAAATCAACACTTTATAACCGAGCCTCATTAACTAATTTATTTTTAACCAGACTGTTGCAAAAGTGATTACATTTTAATGAAAATAGAAAACATTATTTTGCTCAGAAGATATCTGAAATAAGAATAATGAAGAAGTTACCAAAACCAACTTTATCAATCGACATTTTATCGCGATGTTCATTCTGTTTTGTAAAACCACCATTTTTTTTTTTTTTTGTTATTTGTTAACTATTATGATTTCATAATATTCTCCGATAATAAAACAATATGACATTTGTAGTGAGATGACAAAGTCATTTCTCCCAAAACATCTTACTGAACTCACATACACTTAAGTTAATGGACATGCATATAAGAAAATATAATTAAATAAATTCTCAAAATTATGCAATATAATCCAATTAACAAGAATGCGAAATCATGCTTTTCTAAAATTCTCAAAAAGGTACTAAAACAATTGGGAATGAAAGGAATTTTATAATATAGTTTTTATTATTATCGTATTTTAACTCGTTTCTCCGGTACGTATATTTAATTATTATTTAATTTAATTATTACTATTATGTTTATAACACAATAAATCATCACTACTTCCTCCTTGCTCTTATTCTTCGTTCCTCATTCCATATCCTCCTCTCTAAAAAATCCTTTACGTACCAGCTATAGTACATAATAGTGTTTTTTTATTAAATGCAATTATTCAGAAATCGTGAGAGGCGGTCTGGTGTGATGTAGGTTTCTGAAAAACATTTTCTTTATCGTGCCAACGTTTCGATCGTTATTGAGATCATCTTCAGAGCCTGGGATTTACAAGCGTTGTGCCACTCTCAACACGACAAGCAAGAATGGCACAATTTCACAGAAAACAAACACTTTGAGTGAGTAGAAATACTTTGAATGAATATATTTAAAAAATATATATATTTTGCATTGTATAAATTCACTTTTTTCCACATCCTACATGTATTTGTTAAATTTAAACAATGTTTGTAAATCCCAGGCCCTGAATCTCAATAAAGATTGAAACTGTGGCCCGATAAAGAAAATGTTTTTCTGAAGCCTACATCACACCAGACCGCGTCTCACGATTTCTGAATAATCTTCGACTAACGGTCACCAATCACCACACATTAAAACAATGTTTTCAAAATTGTTAAACTGAGGCTGGGACTTTATTCCGTCAGTCATTATCAAGAGGAATATATTATCTATTAATATCTATTTATCGATCTCTCGTCAGTTTCAATACACGTTTACAATCTCACAATTGTTACAACTCAATCTCAATTGTGAACTCTTCTCTCTCCCTCCTTCTCTCAAACTCTCTTTTTCTTTGATTTGTTTCACTCTGTCTGCCTGTTTCTGTTTCTCTCTCTCTCTCTCTTTCTCACTCTCTCTCTCCCCTCTCTCAAATTCTCTTTTTCTGTGGTTTATTTCACTCTATCTGCCTGTTTCTGTTCCTCTCTCTCTCTCTCTCTCTCTCTCTCTCTCTCTCTCTTTCTCACTCTCTCTCTCCCCTCTCTCAAATTCTCTTTTTCTGTGGTTTATTTCACTCTGTCTGCCTGTTCCTGTTTCTCTCTCTCTCCCCTCTCTCAAATTCTCTTTTTCTGTGGTTTATTTCACTCTGTCTGCCTGTTTCTGTTTCTCTCTCTCTCCCCTCTCTCAAATTCTCTTTTTCTGTGGTTTATTTCACTCTGTCTGCCTGTTCCTGTTTCTCTCTCTCTCCCCTCTCTCAAATTCTCTTTTTCTGTGGTTTATTTCACTCTGTCTGCCTGTTTCTGTTCCTCTCTCTCTCTCTCTCTCTCTCTCTCTCTCTTTCTCTTTCTCTTTCTCACTCTCTCTCTCCCCTCTCTCAAACTCTCTTTTTCTGTGGTTTATTTCACTCTGTCTGCCTGTTCCTGTTTCTCTCTCTCTCTCTCTCTCTCTCTCTCTCTCTCTCTCTCTCTCTCCCCTCTCTCAAACTCTCTTTTTCAGTGATTTGTTTCACCCTGTCTGCCTGTTTCTGTTTCTGGCTCTCTCTCTCACTCACACACACACCCACACAGACACAGACACAGACACACACACACACACACACACACACACACACACACACACACACACACACACACACACACACACACACCACCTCTCTATCTGTGTATATATCTATGTACATAAGATCTAGCTATCTCTCTCTCTCGCTCTTTCTCTTCGCTTGATCTATCTCTCTTATCATCCTTCAAGTATATGCATTAGTTATGTAAAATATATTATACATCTATCAAATCTTACCCTATAAATAAGCGATTAAAATGAACTCTACCTATTTATCTTTATTTGCACTAACAGTGATCTCACTCACACGCCCACTCACATCTCTCTCTCTCCCTCTCCCCTCTTACTCATTCTCTCACTCTATAACTAGATGCACTTTATCTTTCACCGATACCACAATTACCTGTAACACATTTTGCACAAACACAAAGAGGTATGTTAGAATTGTAATTAAAACAGCAATTGTTTTTTCAGCTAACTTTCGAAACAACGGATAAAAACATAAATATTATTGTGAATCGTTTTAGATTTTAAATCGGTGTCGTTTGGGAAAAGAGCTGAAAGGACGCGCGAATAGAGGTCCGGTGGGAAAACATAACATTTTGTTTGGGCAGACAGAGAATAGAGTGGGCGGGCCATTGTTGTTGGACAGGGTGTGGCGTATGCAGTGGACACTGACAGCAGACAGCAGGCAGCGGGCAGCAGGTGACTCTGCAGTCTCTTCTGCAGGGCGAAGACGTCGAGAATAAGGAAAAAGAAGGGTTGCGTCGCCCCTTTCCCTCTTATCCTTCAGGAGGGGGAGCTAAATTGGTTGTATAAAAGGAGCGACTCGGCCTCTTCTAGCCATCAGTTACCGACCATGGGAATAGGAAGAATCTCGAGGTTTTCGGTGAGTCGTTCATTTCTCAGAGCCGCAGAAACAGCTCGAATTAGGAAGACCTGGCTTTTCTTTCTCCAGTGGATATCCATTTCGTTTAACAAGTTTACAAAGTATTCTTAGCAATGGCAAAACGGACATAATCAGGATGATAAATTTGCAGAATTTTAATAATACACTATTGCAAACATTTCAGAGTAAAGTAAAATAAATTATAAATACACATATGTGTTATCTCCATTTGCCTTTTTGGCATGCTCTAAACTCCATTTAGGAACAGAAAATATTGTGATAAATGACATTTGCAACATCAAAAATTTTCAATCAAACAGCAATGAATTTATTGAATATAAAAATATTGAACGCTTATGGTTTTTTATATCGTTAAAAATTTCCCACAAAATAGCTTTATATTAAAATTTCTGGTTAAAAGATTAATTTTCTTTTTTTAATTAATAATTGAGATCCTACAGTACTGTCCCTTTAAGTGTAGGTCTTCTGTACTATCATCTATTTATTTTATCTATAAAATATTTTTCATACCTCTAATTGAACAAGGTTTATAATTTCTAGTTTTACCGATTATACTGCTTTTACACATTTTTAGGCATTCATTTATGCCAAAACCATCAGCTTTTTCTGCAAACAATTCTATTTCAACATATTAAATCTATTTTCAAAATTTCCAAAAAAATACACGCTGAAAATCTTTTCAAGCGCCGTTGTGCAATTCTTGACAGATTTTGACCAACTACATTTTGAGTGTGAACAATACCTGCATGCAGTACGGCTTTATAAAAAAAATTCGCTTATTTTTTTTAAATGCATTAATAACATTTTAAAATTTATAAATTATGATAAAATTTTGATAGATCGAATTAATTAAAGAATTTGAATTATTGTATGTAAAAAGTTTTATGTAAAAAAGATAAATGGAGATAGAGAGCGAGTGAGAGGGAATGCAATTTTATAGTCACCCCCAGTATTAGAAATAATAAAGACAAATATTACGTTAGTAACAAGTTTAGGAAAGTCAAAGCGTCTTTAATAAAAGCTCGCTCATAAAAAAAATTTAAATCTTCAAATCTTCTAACATTTTTCTGAGTTGAACCTATCTAAGCGTCTATAATAAAAGCTCACTCATAAAAAAAATTTAAATCTTAAAATGTTCTAACATTTTTCTGAGTTGAACCTATCAACCTCACATTATTTTTCACTGCCAAGTTGGCTAGATACAGAGGTGGATGTATTAGTCTGGATGTATATTATACTGCGCCCTTTAAGAGTTGTATAGTTGTTGCTTGCAACACAACGGTGAGGCCTAGTCCATCAAGTAACTTGATTAGTAGGCACGGTTTCAATGGTTGAATCTCTTGTACATTGGATAAAGTGTACGTCCCTAAACACTTCCTCTTGAGGGCAAGAGTAACACCACAGCTTGTAGGTGTGTTGGTGTTTCTTCCGTTTGTTTGCAGAATCTGTACTTGCCGCGTTGGGTTACGACAATCTTCTTCGGACGACCATTTAGTTTGCAGTGTCCTGCTAAGAATCCTGCTAGGATTCGCTGTTTTTTCCTGATTCCTTTAATGCATTCTGTTAGCGCTTTCCATTCAAAGTTTGTTGGAGGTTCTTGGATTGTTTGTGACCAATGGGTGATTTTTCATCATTTTCTTTTTATCCTTCAGTCTGAGGTGCTCGATGATGGTGTGGATGCCTATACCACAGAAGAATTATGTAGGACTATAAAACATTATCGTTTATGTGGTTTGGGTGATTTTTTTTTATTGCACTTTTCCATTATTTTTTATAAAACGATTCGATTAAATGGATGGTTATCCTTTGTATATTTTCGACGTTCTTTACCTACAGACATGATAATTTTAATGACGTCCTAATGTTACGAGTGCGCGTTAAAAATCAATTTATAATTATTTATTATATCGTTTTTCAAAGAACACTACCAATTTTCCTTAGGATGGTACTTTCAAATTGAATCCTTTGTACAAAGAGAAAAAAATTATGTCGACGTTGCTGTAGTATCGCCAAATACAGTCTATAAATCTTTTTTTAATTATAAATTCTATATAAATATATTAATTATTTAAACCAAATAATAATTGGCGTAAAAGGGAAAAGCGATAACAATTGTTTCAGAGTTAAAAGGCAAGTCTCGTTCGGAGCGTGACGAGATGTGAATGCGGCCCATTTTAATATGTCGGGCACAATCTGCTCTGTCGACATCGACAACATCCGAAACAAACATCGTAATTTTTTTCTCCCTCTGTGCTTTCTTTCTTGTATGTGCGTTGGGGTTTCAAAACTAAAAACGTCGTCATCTTGAAATAACGAGTTTCGAAATGGGTTTTCCTCCGGCACCGCTGAAAACTGAGATGGTCCGAATTTACATTTAAAGAGCACCCAAGGATCTCCTAGCGCTCCTTGGATCGAAGCTCTCGTCAAATTTTGTTCAATTTTTTTAAATTTTTCAATAGAAAAGATGTTAAGTACTGCCGGTTTACTAATTGCTAATTATCTTATCCGTTAATCGTGTCTTACGAAAATAAATCCTACTTTCGCTTCTTAGTCGGTCTAAGAAAAACACCCACAAAACTTACTTCAAATTGCTTAGCGGGTAAGGGTTAAAAAAAAGAAAAAGAGTTTATTTATTTACAGGGTACATAATACACAAAACAAGTTATATATTGAGTCAGACTTACTGCTTATGTGCATTCCGACTAATAATTGTAGATTAGCGCTCACCATAGTTATATGTTATGTAACTAAAGTCTGAGATTTTGTCCGATTTAAAAAAATAAAAGAAATCTGTAAGGGTTCAGATCTCTGTACTGTGAAATAAAATTTGTTCCAGGCTTTCGCCGTACTTGTTCTCTGTATAGTCCAAACTACAGGGTTAACAAGAATTAAACGAGCTAGGCTAGGTAAGGCCCGTCGACGGACGATATCAATGTATAGAATCTTATTTTAAATTGTTGATTACAGAAGGTTTAGAACGTGGATATTTACCCCCCTCGAGTGGAGGAAATGCTCAGTCTGGTCAGGGTTTCAGACCGCCCCAAGGTCCTAGTGGAGGCAGCCCCTCGGGTTCGTACGGAGCTCCACAGGGTGGACAAGGCGGCTTTGGAGGTGGTGCTCCTTCCGGTTCCTATGGCGCACCACATGGTGGGCAAGGGGGCTTTGGCGGAGGTGCTCCACAAGGTGGACAAGGAGGCGCTCCTTCGGGTTCTTTCGGTGCGCCCCAGGGAGGACCCGGCGGTCACGGAGGATTCGGAGCAACTGCCCCTTCCAGTTCGTACGGCGCACCCCAAGGTGGTCAAGGAAGCTTTGGAGGTGCTCCTTCGAACGCCTATGGTGCACCACAAGGCGGTCAGGGAGGGCACGGAAGCCAAGGAGGATTTGGTGGTAGTGCACCTTCCAGCTCCTACGGCGCGCCACACGGTCACCAAGCAGGTGGAGCACCGTCCGGCTCTTATGGAGCTCCTCAAGGAGGCCACGGAGGGTCACAAGGGGGTGGCTTTGGGGGTAGCGCCCCTTCTGGTTCTTATGGTGCTCCGCAAGGCCCGTCGAGGGGCGTTGGCGGTTCCGGGGGAAGACCGACCAATAACTACCTGCCACCGACTCAGGGAAGCGGAGGAAGACCATCTTCTTCGTACGGTGCACCCAATGCCGGCCCTGGAGGTAGACCTTCGTTCGGAAATGGAAGAGGAAGCTCAGGAGGTAATATTACTCTATTCAATTTAAACAATTGAAATGCAGTACGTCGAAAATGAAATTTTGCAGGTGGAAGTCCTTCACCTTCTTATGGGGCACCTCAGGGCGGATTAAGTGGAGGAGCCAGACCTTCATCTTCATACGGTGCACCACAAAGAGGTAAGATTTAGACGGTTTAGATCGTACATATTTTTTACTGTTGCATGGATATATTTGTTTTATCTCCAAATTTAACCGCTTTCAGGACCTGGAGGAAATGCTAATGGACGCCCATCATCTTCATATGGAGCACCGAACCAAGGACAACCTGGACCAAGCAGAGGTCCTGGAGGTTCTCAAGGTGGATACCCAGGTGGTGCTCCAGGAGCACAAGGCGGATACCCTGGAGGGTCTCCAGGCGGATACCCTGGTGGGTCTCCAGGCGGATACCCTGGTGGGTCTCCAGGCGGATACCCTGGTGGATCTCCAGGCGGACAAGGTGGATACCCAGGTGGTGCTCCAGGAACACAAGGTGGATACCCTGGTGGCTCTCCAGGTGGACAAGGTGGATACCCAGGCGGACAAGGTGGGTACCCAAGTGGTGTTCCAGGAGGACAAGGAGGACACGGAGGATATCCTAAAGGTCCTTCTGGTGGTCAGAGTGGCTTTCCTGGAAGTTCTCCTGGCGGACCAGGTGGATATCCAAGTGGCGGGCACAGTGGTGGCAGACCGGGAGGACAATCTGGTGGCTACCCATCAGGTGGGCCTGGTGGATTTGGACCATCCGGAAGCCAAGGTGGTTTCCCATCGGGTGGATCTAGCGGATATCCTTCAGGAGGATCGGGAGGTTTTGGACAAAAAACAAATCCTGACGGAAGTTACGTTTATTGAATTGTGCCATTGGAAAACTGAAAATGTGTATTAAATTGGTTATTATTAAACAAAAAAATACTAAAATTTGTTTGTCTTATTTCTCTTTGCAACCTTTATGAAATAAAACTGTTTTCTCAAAGCTGATTAAATGAGAGATGTGGCTCTTTCTTTCTGTTCTAAACTATTTTCGACCAGTACATCCCATTCAGCAGTTTGAATCAATGATGTTTAACCACCATCAACGGCCACCTTGATGTGATTATACACACTTCACTGAGATGATCTCCGGTTCGGTCATCATACTTGTCGAAACCAGTTATGGCGTACTTGCAAAAGCTTTTCCTCAAAACTAAAATTATCATACTTAAAATTGTAACAAAGATGGATTCATTAAATAACAACTTTTTTTTTTACTTCTTTTATTTGTATCTACAACTGTACATGTATTATATACAACCAGCAGATTGGATTTCAGATAATGTGTTTGGCATTATGGGCGTAATAGAGAAAGCTACCCATTGGCAGCCGCTCTGGATTAATGAAATGATATTAATCATTTAAGAGGTGAATGGGAATATTCTTTTCAGACGTTTACGTGGTAATTGTGGGGAATGGAGTAATCGTATTTGTGTGTTGGTATATTTTGTAATTTACTATGAAAACGTCTGTAATATGTTTTGATGGATGAAAAAACTGTTGGGATTTGAAGATCTATATACGTAGGTAGTAGCATCTCTTTTGGTCATGTGCTACCATGAGACCTCATCTTACCCCTCATTCACATTAAAGGATTATTATTAAGACTTATCGTCACATTTTCTCAGTGTGTTATCGTTTTGTCTCAATTTCTGGGAAGGCAATTCAAATCGCTTTTATATACATTTGCATAGTTTAACTACAGAAGAAGAGGAAGTGCATGATCAATACAGGAAAAAATACTACCATTCGTCTTTTATACATAGTACATGACAATAAATAATCATACATTTTTAGTGAGCGGTCACATTTACATGGATTGCGATAGTAGCCACGCCATTTTAGCGATTCATTCAATTTTTGTTGTTCGACTTAAGTAGATCTACAAAAGTTGAAGGCAACTTGAATCATTTTTTCACGTTTCAATAAAAACTGATCAACTTTTGATTTGCAAACCAATTATGTTCTTTCTTATACACGGTTCTTTTTTCGGTTGTTGCCGCGGTCAAATTTTGGGGACTTAACGTAGAGAAAAATTACAATGGAACAAGTACATTTCCGTCTCGTTGCTCAAAGTCGAAAAAAATATACATCGTAAGAAGCTTCACTAACAGAAAGTGGGAGCAGACCCTGTAATCGGCATGCTATTTTACAGGTCATCCATCAGAGCAGTTATCGACTTCGACTCAATGTTCTATGCTGATACATCAAAAAACCCAGCTGAAGCGGATGGATATATTCTGTAATAAATGCGCGAGAAGGATTTTGGGGTGCCTCCCGAGCATTCTTATCACCTCATTGTTAGCAGAAGGAGACGAATGTCCGTTTAAATTTCGAAGAGAAAAACTAGCATTAGGTAGACCAATAAAACTCTGTGCTTTTGACAGCCAATCTTTCCGAAAATTGTGTCATCTAATTCAACAGTCCTCAGGATTTTTCTAAAATTTGTATACTGACGGATATTTTTAGAACTGTCACCCAAATCGATAATTTCCGTATAAACGGAAATATGAACACACTTTAGAGGATGTGAGTAAACAGGCTTGACATTACAAAAAAGGGATTTACTACAATTAATTTGTTGTGTAAAACGGCACGCTGGAATCCCTGATAACGAGAAAGTAGACGAACTGGCCCAAATTGCCACTACAGCTTGGGTCGCAATATTGGTTTAAAATAACGAGCTCCGGCACCCAACGGCTTCTTAGAAAAGAAATTCGACTGAAAAGGAAGAAAGAATATCATCCTCTTCAGTGGGCAATCATTATCGTTTCATGTTTACAACAGTGCGGAAGAATAATGCCTGGTATGCTAATGGAGGTAGAAGCAAAGCATTCCATAGCACAATCAAGCAGGTTGAGAGTATGTCACTACATTAGTGACCTTTACCTGTTCAGAATAGATAAAAGAAATACACCCAATTGTGAAATATGCCATGTAAGAGAGGACGCCTTCCCCCCTGGCGTATCAGCAGTACTAAGAATATAGGGAAGATTTCTACAAAAAGTAGATGGATATATGGCCTTACAGAGGCCTTTTATATCAATATTTGAGCCATGTTATACCAACACAATTGAGAGTTCCTTCAGCACCTTGAGACGAGTTAAAGCATGGACAAGATTGAATGGACTTTGCCTTTTGAGTATTCATAAAAAATTGGTTTCAGACAAGAAAGGAAAAAGTGAGTCATCAATTGTCGACAAATTTTCAGAAAATCTATATCGACTAATGCTCTCTTAGTTTGTAACGACCTCAATTCGCAATTAAGAAGTACACCTAATGTACATTTTTTGTTTCATTTTATAGTAGTTATTGTAAGACATTGGGAGTTATTTCAAATAATATGATCCGATTGTGATGGTATTTTAGTTTGTTGTATATTTATGGTTTTGTACATATCATAATCATTTATTGAAAAATATATAAAAGTTCCCAAAAAACAGATAATAGTTTTATTTTCATTAAAACTTGGTTAGTGTGATATTTTAAGAAAAAACTTTGTTTAGTCTATAAAGAATTTTATTTTGAGGCTAGCACTAAATTTTTGATTTTGAATTTTTCTATTAAAAAGTTTAGGAAAGAGAAATTGTTCAAAATGGTCTAAAAGCCTAAGCAATGGGTGACTTCTAATTCTAATTACATACCTATCTGCCCCCCCCCCCAACCAAGGATCCTACGTACACCCTTGTCCATAGGTAGTATTCCTTACGATAAAATTATAATAATTTTAGCATTATACGTTATTTCCTTGAAGCCTATTTTTTAAAAACAATTTTATAAACAAAAACAAAACAGCGTAGTGTACAAGGTGAACAAAAATGTCAACTGAGATGTTTCAAGTCATGTTTCAACTTGAACGAAAGTTTGAATTAGTTTGACCGGTTCTCTATAGTTGATCAAATCTGTAGAACCAGTATGAAATTGAAAATCAAAAAACCTCTTTGTGGTGAAATAAACATAGATATATTGCAATTAATGAAGGTTTTTAGTTGAGATAAAAAAGTCAATGGCACGAGCGGGATTCGAACCCACGATCTTCGGCTTGATACGCCGCTGCTCTACCACTTGACCTATCGTGACCTCGATCCACTCGGGCACCAACTTCCCATCTCAACCGCACCTTTTGAATTTTCCATCCTTCTTGCCATTTTTCAAATATCATGTGAAGGAAAATTGGAAAATTCAAAAGGTGGGGTTGAGATGGGAAGTTAGTGTCCGAGTGGATCGAAGTCACGATAGCTCAAGTGGTAGAGCAGCGGCGTACCTAGCCGAAGATCGTGGGTTCGAATCCCGCTCATGCCATTGACTTTTTTATCTCAACTAAAAACTTTAATTAATTGTAATATATTAATTGGTCAAGCGGACCACGAAATTAGTGAATTTATAGATACATTGTTTGATTTACATTGCTAAGTAAAATAAGGCATAAAGGGGCTAGGTAAATATTTCAAATTAAAAAAAGTGTGCAAAATCAGGGGAAAATTGTGGATGCCAATTTTTTTAACTAGCTCATCAGTAGAAAAATAAGAATTTAATATGTACTGTTAATTTTTGTCACCAAAGCAAAATTGACAGTTTGCTTTAAAATTAGCTGGAACTGTGACAACAAATGAGGGAAAAATAAAGACCTCATGAATTGCCTTCATCTTATTGATACTACATCTGCAATTTTTATTGACTTATTGACCAAATGAAGATGAGTAAGTTTTAGAGATTGAACAGTTTATATTTATTTTATTTATTATTTTTTTATTAATAAAATTGATGACTCTTACATGCAAACAAATTTCTCTCTTTATTATATTAGTATAGATTTACAATATGTACAACATTGAAAACGGCCCCATTTCCCTTAAAAATGGGAACAGGGGAACAATTTATTATGATAGAGAGTACAGCTGCGAAACAACTAATACCCAAATAGTGGTACCATACTGAATAGAAAAAAATTAATAAAACATTCTGCTTTTTAAGTACACAAATCAATGAATCTATTGAGCCAACTTGTTTTCTTAGCTTTAGTTTTGGACTGACATAAACAAAAATGTTCAATTATTTCTAATTTTACTGTAATGTTTACTTTAGTATGAAAAATACTATTGCTGAAATATGTTTTAAAACTGCATAATATAATTTTTTAACAGCTCTCTGAATTACCTAGAGTTCAGACAGAAGGCTATTCTGAAAGTACCACATAAATAAATAGTTGAGCGACCATGCTCGTCTGGGTGTGCTGTGTTCTATTATAACTGCGAATCCAAGATAAGGCTCTAACTCGCTATGCTAATTTATAAATCTATGATAAGGCCCCTGGTTCTTTATAGTTGCGAAATATGGGGAGCAGCGTCTTCATCTAAAATAAAGCGACTGCAAGTATTACAAAATTAAATAGCTCGAATGGCAATAAATGCCGAGTGGTATGTGAGGAAGAACCAGATACACAAAGTACTACAACTCCCAACTATCCAAGAGACAATTCACGAACGATTCAACAAGTTGCATTCCGAACTTAGTAGTCAAAGGTGCTGTCCATCTTCAAACTAGAAGAAAAAAGGCGTCTGAAGCCATCTATGCTGCATGTGTCAATAGTGTAAAAACATCTGTTATATAGTCTGTTGAATATTTTCAATTATAATATTTATTAAGGAACGATTTCCCCTCTGGTGAATATTGTGATAAAACTAAATGAACAATCTTATGCCTCAAATAATTAAATGTGAACTATTCCTATACATTTACAAATGTAAAACTCTTTGTATGTATTTGGGCGTGGTTTTAATTAAAAATAATAATAATAATAATTTACTTTTTGGAACTGTAATGAATAACATTTTATTTGCTTACAAAAAGTCAGTTCTTATAGCAACAACACTGAATTAATGCACACATGCTAAATAAAATTATATGTAATAGACTAACCATTTTCTATACATCATAATTAAATCTTTTTAAGTAATTCACATAACAAAAGTTTTGATTTTTCTTCCGTGTTCACTTGAATTCTCAGTGTTAAATAAACTACACAATATTACAGAATATCTCTGACGGTTTAATGCCCACTGTGTCATCACTTTTTTGTTTTCTTTTAATGTACAAATATATTTGTTTTTTGTAATAAAGGCATTTTATTAACTCATTTCATAACAGAGATTGAACACCATTGTCAATTGTGTCTCTACTCGTGGTAAAGTAGACAACCAGCATCATACGCATACATGCGATATTGACAGGGGGTTATAGAAGTTTTATAAAAAATAATTTAAGCATATGTGACTTGAACATAATTTGGCTCATCCTGTCTAATCAAAGACAATTTGGGCCATATATTTCTCTAACTTTTGTTCTGCATCTCTCCAGTATTTTGCAAAAATGACAAAATCACCTGCATATAATAAACTAACGATGTCTTTAGAGCTGTTGTAGTGTAGTAATATGAACTGCTGAAATAAACAATTTATTATTACACAGACATGACAAACATGCAAAGTTATAAATCTCAACCAGAATATACATTCTTTGTGAACAACACACAAATCATTACAATTTATACACGTCATCAACACCAGTTAAACCGTCACAAAACTTCAAAAGAAAACCATTATATTATAAAACAAACAAAAAAACAATTCATCTAAGTAGGTCAGAACAAAATATCAACTTGCTCTGCCCCTTCCCTATTTTGATGAGGTTGTAATTATATGCTATAATTAAGATGGTGAGATGCTGACATACAAAATGAATGGAAAACAGCAAATGATTGGCATAGATAAAACTACTTCATTTCTTTTGTTTATGAAAATAATTGTAATTGAAAAGGTATTTTACTGAAACTAGCCTTTTGCTATATTTCTAGATTTAAAAGGAGAAAAGCTAGAACATTTTGTCAAAATAGAAGTAAGTTATGAATGAATAAATAAAAATATCTCAATTAATTACACTTTTTATCTAAAGTTTTGGATGAGATCAAAAAGTTAGTGTCACGTGCAGATTTGAACCCATGACCTTCGACTGAATGTTTGAGTGGGTCTTTTTTTTGCAGCTGAGCTGTACAGCTTATTGTACTTTATCCCTGGCTCCATATTTTAGGGGAAGGCTCATTGTGCCGGTATTCTTCCATCAAAGAAACTCATTTTTGAAAGGGGTTGGGACCAAATTCAGAGTCGCTGAGATCCAATCCTGCCCCTTCCATTGATGAGTGCCGTGTCAATTTCTTTCAATTGCGGCCGCCGGTCCCCTTAGGCATCAGAAAAAGTCCAGAGGCGACGGTGGGGATCGAACCCACGACCGCAGGATCTACTAGACGAGAGTCTGACGCCTTAACCACTCGGCTACCGCGCCCCCGATTCGATGTTACAATGCTGAAGTGGTTTGCCAAGCGATATCCAAAGGTCGTGGGTTCGAATCCCACTCGTGTCACTGACTTTTTTATCTCAACCAAACTTTAGATAAAAAGTATAATTAATTCTAATAATTAAACAGGTCAATTATGATCGCATATATGGATTAATAAAGTAAAATTCTTTTTTTGCAGTAAATACAAACTGCTTCATCACATTCATCAACCCTCGCATAAGATATTGGATATTTGTCTGAATTAATTAAAATATTAAAGTTTAATTAAGATCACAGGTTAATCTATAAACGTAATTTATTTAAATTATAAAATACTTCACTCTTTCTACCAAAAATGCCGCATTATTAAAAAGACCAGATTGTAGTGAAAACATTTCATGAAAAATTAAATTCTGTTTAAACTGAATAAAATGCTTTAATGAATCTTGAAGCGATCTGGAAAGGAGAGAAATCAAATTTAAACATGTTACATATTTTTATATTTTTTTTAAATATCTTTAATACATTCTGATTTAGCAATAAAGTAGATGATTAAAAATTAAACATATCTATTGAATAAAGTGAGAAGAATACATTTCATGTGTTCCAAAGAATAAAATAAATTGTCTCTAGCATAACATATCCACTTTTACGTAGTTCCACCATAAACTTAAAAAAAAATCACACACTATACCAAAACTTACACAATACAAACTAAATGATTAATATGTATTCCTGACAATATAAATATTGTTGAATATATAATCACCATAACTTATTTGAAATTTACAATAGAACAACTCTTCTATACTCGTATAAGCACAATTGTGGGACAGTTTAAAGAAAACATCAAAGAATACATTATAAGCAGTCAATAGTAAAGAATTACCTAAACTGATTTTGTTATTTTTATAGGTTAGTTAAAACACCTCGTTACAATGCAATTCACATTAATATGATATTAGCGACTTGCGATTTTCATGTATCAAAGCCACGGATTTGTGTCGAACGTTTATATACGTATTATATTGATTTCGAGAAGAGAAGTTTCTAAACTGTACAAATCCGGGATGGCAAACCCTATTTGCACTAAATACAATCCTATCACGACTACAATTGCCTAAAACAACAAACATTCAAAAAACAGAAATAACATATAAACAAAGAATTTGCAGTTACTTAAAACAAAAGTTGATAACAAATTTACCGCTGTCTTAAATCTTAAGCCAGCCATTTAGCCAAGGGAATACATATGTCATGAGAAAGTCACTCCTGTTTGAAACAAAAAATGTTTGTGCTGTATTGATTTTTTCTTCTGAGATTAGAAAGAGAGAGAGATTGAAAGAGAGAGAGAGAGAGAAAGAGAGAGAGAGAGAGGAATAAAATATTAATTTTAAGTGTATGTATTAGAGGTAAAGCTTTAAATTACAAGTTAATCATAAAATATATGTTAGCATTTAAACCTCTAGAATCTAAAATTTGTCTCTACTTAAAAAAAATTTTAGCTGTAATTTTTTTATGCGTACATTAAATTCTATATCATATATTGATCACACAAACAAGAAATTTAATTGAATTTGGGGCGCTCAGGAGATTTACTCATCACAGTGCATCCATAAATAATTTTCAATTATGTGAAAAAGTGGAATATCAGAAAAGAAAAATGAAATGAACATTATATTCCCTGACTTTACAAACAAAAGGAACACATTTACAACAACTGGTAACACATTTTCCATTACATCACTATTGTGGGTAATAATGATTTTTTTTCTTTCTTTTAAAAACGTTCATACATCTGTAGAAACACACTGCATACGACTGGAACACTTTTGTTTTACATAGGCTAATGTGTGTTCGTTTTAATCCTTTTAATTTTGAAGGAACCACATGAAAGTCTCTATATAATGTTTGTATGCGTGTAACGTCTGTCTTGCACTAGCACACTCTCATGTCCACACATAATACCATATTCTACCCACACATAATTAATCAAAGAATTCACCGTATCAATAAGTGCATTCTTTGTTTTTGTTTTCTTTTTCCTTCTTCTATTTATTTTAATAAGTAATTATATTTACATCAGAATGCGAGTAATGTTTTAAAATGGCTAAACTAAACACCTATACAATGATATTATATATATATATAGTGTGAGCAAGAACAAATTATATGCAAACGAAAAATTAAACTATTCAAAAAAGAAAACAAGAATGAAAACATCAACCTAACGATGACATCATATGCATGGTTTTCACTTTAAAATCTAAATATATATTTATATGATATAATAGTACATTTTCTTTCAAAAAATAAGATCTTCACAGAGTGATTACATGGGCACCACGAGTGCAATCATCTTATTTATATTTAATAATTACACGGCACACACACATTATAGATGCTGACACTCGCGTAGAAGTCTGTCCTCACGACACTCTTGAATTATCCGTATATTTGTCAAATTAATTTTTTTTTCTTCTCCCATATTCTATCCTCATTTTCTCCCATTGTAACAGAACAAATAATTAACATTAGGCTAATTTATCCAATTTTTAATAAACATTATGTATATATGTTTTTTATTATTTTTTTTATTTTAATTTTTCTCTTTTAGTTTCAAGACACGAGGTGGAAGATGCTCCTTCTTTACATTCTATATATAACTTTGTCTTCACATCTTTTACTTTTTGTCTGTCATCTTTTTATTATATCTTGTGTATTTTTTCCCCAACTACGACTGGGTTGTTGCGACGGATTTCTTGTGCTCCTAATTCACGATAGTTGAACGTACACTTGTGTTTGTCCGAATATCGATGAACAGCGCAGTAAAGGCCTCCGCATCGACACTCGAATCCTGCAAATAAAATTGTAAATATCTCATTAATTAAAATCAATATAATATTTATCTGTAGAATAAATTACAATCGAAACTCTTGAACTTCAACCATAGGTTTTACACAATTATTTTAATTTTAAAGTTTATTTTACGGTAAATTACTTGGTATTTTATTACCTGTAAGGCCAACCTTCTTACGGCAAACAGCACATCGGTTCTTTTTCTTGCTCTTATCCTTGTCGTCTTTTCCTTCCGAGTCAACTTCTTTGTTGAGATCAGGGGAGTCAGAGGATGCAATCGAGCTACCACCTACAGCTCCCTCTCCAGCCTCACACTAGAAAAAAGTTTAATGAATTAATATCCTTTTCATTAGCTTGAACATTTTTCAGAGAATTTATTTGTTATCCAAGAATAATATCTTGAAATGGGACAAGACTTAATGTAAAAGCAATGTAACAGAGTTTGGCGCATTTTAAGCTATTGCCATAATATTTTGATCTTTTTTTGCAGTAAATGTTCAATTTAAATTTAAATAAATATTTTTTAAATTATAGATTGCATCTATTTCTCCGAAAGAATGGCTTTAATTATTTTTCAACCATGATTGGAACTAATTATTTTCAATCATACCTTTTGAACTTCATAAACAGACAACTGATGCTACAATTACAGGGTAATTTCAATACTTGTCTATGATTAATAGACCAATTTGATCTAGGTATTTTTTGTACAGAATTATATAACAGATATAATTACCCAGTTCTGTTTTTCATGCTATCTGTACTTGAAGATATTAAAGAAAGACTTGATTTGGTTAAACATTAACATTTTACTGCAATAAAAATATCTGAAAACTTGCTATTTCTTTGTTTATAGGAATGCACTGTTCTATTGATAATTGTAAGGATATTTTATGAGTTCATGTCAAGGACTATTTGTTTTAAAATTAAAATGGTAGTACTTATTGAGTCTTTTAACTGTGATTAATTTGCGGTTTTTGCGGATTTTACAATTTTCTTCGTAAAGACATCATTTTACATTCATGTATTCAGAATTTAAAAAAAGTCATTTTCTATGCCTTTACGAGAAAATAAGTCAAAAAGTGTAGAGAAGTGTAAAATGGACAATTGTGGTAAGACTTTCTATTGGGTTTTGAGACGTCATCTTGGAAAAGAATGAACGAGCCACATTTTTGGTTAGCCTTTAAAATTAAAATTTAAATAAAAAGTCCACCACAGATAAATTTAATAAAATGTTTGGTATAAGAATCATATTTTTTCTGTTTTATAAGCTAATTTATTGATTAGTATATTGTAATTTTTTACTCTGGAAGATCACAATGGCAATATTTACTACCTCTTTCAAGACAAGTTTTATTTTAAATAGATGCATCTTTACTAATTACAGATTCAGCTATTGGCAGCTTGATCATTCTCAATCATCCTGATCTCCCTTTATACACTGGCTTTAGTCTGTAATATGCGTTCATCCATTTTGTCATCTTCAACCAGCGAAGAATGCATCTGACAGACAAATCCTGTGTAGAATAGAAAGACCAATATGATCAGGAGCTATCAAGCAATAAACTGAAGGTTCTCTTTGTTAGACCTCTGGTCAAAACAAACGACACTTCCACGAAGGTAAATGAAAATAAAATTTAATATAGCTTTTATGCTAAACCTCTTATCCATAATAAGTCTATAATGTATGAAACGAAATTTCCACAAGGCTTTCAAATTAATTTTACAGCATTTCATACATTAAGGAATAAATGTTAACTTTTTTTCTTTCAATATGAAGACAACAGTTCTGATAATACTGCTGAACCTAATTCCTTATTTATTAAACTATTATATGTAGTTGTAACAGTGTTGTACTCTGAAGCTATAAATTGTAAAATTATTTCAATCGGACAGCGCACATCAGTTCCCAAAACAGAAAAAATGAGCAATTGATTCAGAATGACCTGGCTGTCATCCGTTCTTTGGGCGAGGCATTCGCTCATCCCTCTGGAGGCTAAGGGATTGATTATTCTCACGTCTTTAATGTCCTGAGGCTGAGGAGCGATAACTGGAATTGTAGGAACCGCCGTGTCCATTGCACACGCTGGGCCACTGCTCTGGTAGCTGGCTGCTCCCTGTGGTGGCTGTTGCTTCTTCTTGAGTGCTTCCTTGTAGCACAGTGAGCACAGGCCGTCTGTCGACGGGTTGCCGTAGAATCCGCACCCTGACCTGCAAAGCGCTTGCATCGAATTTGACTCCCTTTCCATTTTTCTTCTATATGTATGGGAATACTCCTGAGGGAAGAAAAAACCAAAAAACAAATTAGGCATAATAAATAAAAATTATAATTTTAATGATAAATTTGCGTTTATAAAAATTTGTTTTTATAATCGTAAATCAAAGATCAGAGACCTGAATCACTTAAAACATTTATAGGATTAACTGTCAGATTTTAATAATTGTCAAATGAGATTTATTGAAAATAAGGCTGGATATCATGCGTTTAACATGCTCTATTTCTGTGAAATTTTATAAAGATCTACAAAATTATGGACCTTGGAATTTAAAAAAAATAAATCTTATCAAATCTTATCGTGAATTCCAGTGATCTGTACAATGAAAAATATCTTGGGAGACACAATTTGAACTTATCTCAAGAGGGATTTCTAATTTTTTTTCCCCCTCTTATGTCTGTAATGAAATAACGGAGGATTATTACATTAGGGATTTGACTAATTCTTTGACATTTTTAACCGGCAACAAGGTGAATGTATCAAATGAACACATATATATTTTATATATGTATGTATAGTTAAATAATTATAAACAATACCTGAAAAAGGTTTACTCCTGTCGATATTTTCTAAGACGGTATATTCTTAATTCATTAATGTATTTGCGCGAAACCTTCATAATTATTAAGTCTGTAACCTATACGATATTAAAGCACTCAAAAGTTTAAATATCTATTTTATGTAGAAAAGGCTAAGTACTAGAATTTTGGACATACATATTTTTATTAATCTAATTATCGGAAAAACAGCATCTGTTTCTTGTTTAAATACTGTTCATTTAAAAGTAAGGAGGGAAGCGGGCACTCGCGTTATTTTTTTCTTTTTTTTTTGTAAACAGTCGACAATATCAGGGGAGCAATAAATTATTGATATTAACTGTAAAAATTTATTTAGCCTAATGATCCACGGTAAATGTAAAATATGACTACCTTGAGTGAACATCAGCTGAGAAAAGTGTTGGAAAAACAGAACGACTGTGACAGTCCCACGTGGAGCGGCAGGAAGTCAAGTTAAAATAGTGTGTAATTCATTTTCGTTTTTTTGTCAAGACAATACTTCGAATGTATGAGTCGGTATCAAAGATATTATGAACAACTTACTATAAAGTAAACAGATGTTCGTGTCTATCGCTGACGGTTTTCAGTACGGTCGGTCAGTACACAAACTGGACGACGGCGTCAGTCAAGTTCAAGCCTGGGCAAATATTGAGTTGTTGCCTGAAACAAAAACAACAATTGGTCAAATCGAGTTAGTCAAACTAGTGGATATTTACAGTAGTTTTTTTTTTACAATTACACATACAGCAATGGACAAAACCTGTCTACGGATATACTTTTTTTTAAATCTAGAAGTGTAAATTTTACGATACGTTATTTTTCTAAAATGATTTTCCTTTGTCTTTTCTGTAAACAAAAAGTGTTTGCTGTTAACCTACACTATAAGACTACTAATGGAAATTTCGACTTTTATATTGTTGACTATAAGAGAAAAGTAATAATGATAAACTGAAAGGTTTACAACAATTAAAACATAAATGAGCTCTTTTCTTTAACACATGCAACAACAACACAATGGTCTTTCGTTGCGCCGAATACACTCTCATGCTGCGTTTCAAACCGAAAAACGAAGATAAATTTATTACCGTTTAAAAGCATTAGGTGTTCGGATGTGTAATGTTAAAAACAAAATCGGAAAATTCTTCCTCGGATAAAACGCTTCTGAAGAAAGGGATTCTAAAGGGGGGGAAATAAGAAATAAAATTTTTGATAAAACGCAAAAACTTATTCCTCAAATTCCAACTTTTATTGAATAATTTATAAAGGAACTTTTATAATTGTCATAACACACAAAGAAGACTACTAAAATTTAGGAATATCAGCTGTAAAACTAATACCACCAGAGTAAGGAATTTGTTTAAAAATAAATTCTGAGAAATTTTGCAATTAATCATTTTATTAAAAAAAGAAAGAAAGAAAGAACCCTTGAATTTATCAGGAAAACGCGACTTCGAGCTAGGTTCCCGGATGCCTCGTCAGGCATGAGTGTACACATTAACTACACATAAGGAATTTTTAGAAATGAAGGTAGGGTGACTATGTAGATTCACTTTTTGTAAATGATGGTTCTACTCGCAGAGTTGTTTACAACGAACCGGAATTCATGTATTAAACACTCATCATCAGGTTGAAAATGTTACAAACACGCCTCTCGACATGCTATTATAAGAGCGAAACCGCCGATCCACCGCCTCCTAGGCTACGTTCAATGAGCAAAACCTATTATATTCATATTTGCTTAGTGGCCATAATTGACCACTTAATCTGAATTATTTCAATTAATTATTCTTTTTATCTAAGGTTTTTGATTGAGATGAAAAATTAGTGTCACGAGCGGGATTCGAACCCACGACCTTCGGCTCAGTACGCCGCTGCTCTAACCACGATAGCTCAAGTGGTCAGAGCAGCGTCGTATTGAGCCCAAAGGTCGTGGGTTCGAATCCCGCTCGTGACACTAATTTTTCATCTCAACCAAAAACCTTAGATAAAAAGAATGATTAATTGGAATCTAATACATTATTTATGCATTAATGTCCATATATAATTTTACATTTTCTTTTATTTCAATCAAATTTCTCAAACCGATATAGTTCCCTCCCTTTGTTGAAACTGTGTAACACTGTTGCATTAAAATTGAAATTGTGTTCGATTTAGGCATGTGTTCTTTAATTCTCGTTTTAATTCATCTGCAAAACTTTCAACAAAATGAGGGAACAAGATTGGTTTGAGAAATTTTAAATAAAAAAAAAAAGTAAAATTAAACATGGACATAAATGCATAAATAACAAAATACATTTTGATTTACCTCCTATTTTAAACATGTACCTAAATAATATTTGACATAAAAATTAATCACTAATTTAAAATTATTTTCTTACAGTATTTACTAGGATAACATCTAGTTGCGCAATTCACGTTTTCGCATGTTCCAAATTAAGCGACATTAATAACTAGATTCTAACTTGAACGTTGGAGGTGGATCGGTGGGTTTACTCTTACAATTCAAGTCAAGAGACGTGTTTCTAACTTCTTCAACCTACTGATGATGAGAGTTTAATGCTTGAAATCTGATCGTGACTACAAACCTGTCATTAGAACCATCTTTTACAAAAAGTAAGGACATTTCTTCACAAAATTCACCAATTATTGATAATCAAAAACTAATGCTATACACATATACATACAAAGACAATTTATCTCTCCTGGTGTATCCCCATGCCCCCAAAATCGAACGAACAAGCTCTTATGTTAAGGGTAAACATTTTTTATTGTAGTTTTAAAGTACGATACAATTTATCAAAACGAAAGGCGACCCACTATCAAGATCAGTTAATAAACTGTACAAAAATTTAAATTGTAATAAATTCTTGTTTTTATGCAAGGATGATAAATATGCGGGAAAGCATTGGATAAAAACAAATCAAATGGACAATTTGTTTTAATTGTTAGTAAAGCATACCATATAAACAATATCACAAAAGTAGCGATACTTGTATCTATCACGTGGCTCTTATGATAAGGAAGGTAAATATAGAACAGGCTGGAAAATCTTGACCTAATTCCCCTTACTCCCTTCCACGCCACACCAGTTCACAAAATCCTGAAATAAAAACTGTGCTAGCATACTTCCTTGTAAAACCGAAAGGGGGCAAACCTTTTCTGAAGTCCGACACGGACTTTAAAATTTAAAATTATTGAGGAATGGCCATTAATGAAACTATGATTATTGATATATTTATGTATAAATTAAGATTAGAAACAACCTTAAGATTGTTTTGATTTTTAGAATATACCATAGTATAAAACTACATCAGATCGTTAATTTAAAATTTTGGTGGTGTTTTATGAATTCGTTAGCTTAAAATTATGCCAACAAATTTCTGCTATCACAAAATGGGATAAATTAAACGATTAAACAAAGGCTTTTTGGGAAAAAATTCGAAAATCTGCCTAACTTGTGAACAGGTTGGTTTTCTGCTTGAATTTGCATCCCAATCCCGGATAAAACCGATTCGTGCCTTAATGCGAGGAATGGATTTGACGATAGTAATCAACTATCTCTAGGATTGTAGTTAATGGAAACAAGGACAGAGATAAGACGTTCCAAAAAGAAATGAAATTAGCAAAGAATAAAATAAGATAGGATGAGAGGGAGAGGGTGAGGGGGAGAGAGTGAGTGAGAGGGAGAGAGAGATAGGGGGTGAGAGGGAGAGAGAGATAGGGGGTGAGAGAGACAAGGGGAGAGAAAGAGAGGGGAGGAAATTTAGAAATTAATGAAAGAACATCTCCATAACGATAGATTTTTAAGTTAAAATTAAAAATAGGGAAGAAAGCTTTAAATTAAAGTAATAAGTTTGAATGACATTTATCTCCGTTTTTTTCATGTTTCATGGAAGTATGTATTCATATGTATGTAGAAATGATGAAGGTGGTGTGTGTATTGATTCACTTTTGTAAAAGGTAAAACCTTTTAACCTTTTACAAAAAGAAACGTACATATTCACATGGTTTGTGAGACAGACAAAAGAGTTGGACTCGAGAGATATAATTGGAAGAAACATTACATGTTGATGAAAGACTTATTTGTGGTTGTCATGGTCATCGATGGTAGATCATCTCTTGTCCGTTTACGTGTATTTCCGCTCTTTTATGGTTGTTTTCTTTTATTGTCCTCTTAGCGTGCTCGTTCATATTTAGCGTGTAATATTAATTTAAATAACGTGAATGACATCCCCGGTTCCCCTTAGACGTCAAACTTAACTTTTAACTGGCGTTAATTGTGAAAAAGTCTCACATAGGTTTGAAACAGTTGTTTTTAGTTTCAACGGTGAAAGTCAATCTTTCCCAGGACGATTATGCATTGCCAATTTATGTTTACTATGGCAGGTGTGCCGGACGATTTTAGAATTTAGCGGTTTTCCTAATGGGCATCGCGACAACTGGGAACCCCTGGAAAGTAAGCGAACTAAGGAGTTGCCATGCAACCTGAACGGATGAACGGCACATATCTATCTTAGTTTTAGTTGAAAACTGCTTTACTGAATTTTCGGTGGTGGTAAATTAGTTTAAAACTTTTGTAACGTCGTAAATATGCCGAATAACGGTTTTCTTAAGTTTGCACACTGGGGTAAACGAGTTTTCAAGACCGGTTCCCCTTATAAAAATTTCTCTCAATCCCGTCTGTAGCCCTACTTTACTTTGACTTTCAATTTGCTAGTACTTAAAATCAATGTCAACCACGTTCATCGTCCTACACGTTTATCCTACATATTCAGAGTATTGAGGGAGAATATACGGCACGGAAAGACAAAGGACTGCAATAGATTTGTACATTGTTTTCAACGGATTTCTGGTACCCAGTAAAAAATTGAAACTTTTGGGAATAGAAATGTGGATAACGAGCAAAGAACAAAACATGCTAAACTGAGATTTCTTGTTGAGGTTTGAGGATGACTATAAGTTGGTGGTTTTGCCTATCGTCGCTTGTTCGGCCTGTCAGATATAGTTCTGTACCTTACCATCTTCAACCTCTGAAGAACGCATCTGAAACACCACAACGCCCTTGAGAGTAGGCAAACTAAGATAGAGACGATCTTACAGGCTTTTCATCCGTTTCACAATTTAAAGATTAGTTATTTTAAGATAACATTACTGCACCTGAATAACGCTTTCGTAAGAACGCTTTTGATTAAAGCTAGCCAAACAGTGCCTTCCTGTTGCAAGACCTCGGGACTAGTTGCCCATATTAAACCGGCGATTAAATTCCTAGAGGGGTTTCTACAAACTTTCCATGTAATACAATGCTGTGCTGTTACACCAATCTAGCATCAGTGTATGCGGACTTTAATCAAAATGTGTAGTTTTCATTTTTTCTTTTGTTTTTTACATGAATACAACAGTTTGTGTAATTACGTAGGGCCTGATATCAATAATTCTTCATTATAAGCTGTCTGTTAAAAGTAAATTAAATATAGTATAATCAGCATTTTGTACTGGCTGTAACTGAAAATTATAAAACTGTTTCAATTTGGATATTTGAAATGGATAATGACCTAGCAGTCATTCGCCATTCTTTGAATAAGGAGTAATCACTAATCTCTTTGGATAATATGGAATTTATTATTCTTAAGTCAATTAGGTTTGGACAAAGCGAACAGGCAAACCCCCGCTGAAGATGCAGAATTGAATCTGAAAGACCAATGTGTTACGATAGGCAGATCAGAATGATCGGAAACAATTTAATTATATAGAGCTTTGTAATTAAATAGCCCCTGCCAGTTGCGAGAGCGAATCGGAAGAAAATCTTGGTTTTTAAAACACAATTTCTGGGAAACAGCAGGGTTCTTGCAGTGGTCGACACACTGACCCGAATACCTCGTCGGAGAGGAAGAAAGAAAACCAGGGTCACGAAAGGACGGAATTCTCTCCCTCTCGTGTCCTAGAAAGAGAAAGGGAAGAGAAGAGGGGGATTGCAGCATGCGGGTTGCGTCACCTTATCCAGCACAAGACGACACCCTGACAATGATGAAAATTCTTGTAAGCCAAATGGATGAAA